TTCTCCTGTTAAATTGTATTACTGACTTGGAGTCTCTCACTGGTTTTACTTTCAAACTAACACATTGTCTTTCATGTCCACAGTTTTGATTGAGTCTATCCTATTCTGGTTGATTTATAAATTGTTCTTGAATTTTAAGTTGTAATTACTATCTTGCTTAAGTCAGCTTCACAGCCATCTAATGTCTAAACCTGGCTTGCATCTTCTTACTTGAGGATAGTGAGAGAGATATGGAAGGGTAGTTAAAAAAAGCTTTGACAATTGGATCTCAGTCTTAAGTTTACAGAGCTTATAATTGGGTCTCTGCCTCTGTCTTTTCTCCAGTCTCCAGCTGCTAGTAAATTGAGCAGTTCCATGGGGAAATTACACTGACTTGGAACTAGGCAAGCAAACTTAGAGCTTGGCAATTCACAGGAAAGTCATTAAAAAGTCACTAAGTCATTGAAACATGTCTTGATTTTTAATTGTGTTGAGTATGTGCATAACTTCATGAAATTAGAAACTGCCCTTTTTCTAAACTTAGTTACACCTGTTACTTTGAAACTTGTTGCTTATTTTTAACAATGAACTGTTTCATTTTCAACTGACCTTTCCTGTCATTTCTCTTTAGACACATTTATTTTCCCTCCCTAAATCACTGTTGTCTCACTCTGCATCCCTTCTTTTTGAACCTTTGAGAATTGCAGGTGAAGCACACACGTCAACACTCCAGGATTAGTTTTGGTCATGCATCATGTTTTGTGCCTTGTGATTAACAGAAAAGCATTATTTTGAGCAACATCTGTCTTTAGAAGAGCAGCAGCTAGTTTTTTTTCTGTTATGAGTTGCAGTGTAACTTCCTCTTTTCCTCCCCTCATTTTTTAAGTGCTATCAGATTATTTAATTTCTAGACCTTACCCTTAATCACATGCTCTCAGGCATTCAGTACAGGACCACACTAGAACCGTCTGAAGATAAAGAGCATTGTTCTAAAGAGTAGAGTAAGTGGGAAATTATCGGGTTGATTCCATAATCTAAGCAAGTACCTCAGTTCTGGATAAAACCAAACTACGTGCTTAGGGAACTGCATAAAATTTTTCCAGTGCTGAATAATTACTTCTCTTTCTTGCTAGGTTCCAAATGCATATTGCTTGACTAATCTAAGTCTCTGTTGGTTTGATATCCCTTTGCTTATTCTATTTTCCAATTCAATATGCTTTCTAAAATGTAACAAACTTTACGTGAAGAAAACCTGTTCCAAGCCTGTCAGTCACTGAATTTTTGGACCTCTTTGGAAGTACCTTTCAATCACACTGTAAATATAATTTTCACTACAACACCCTTTTATCAGTAGAATTGGAACATGTACAATAACTAAACCTTGGCAGGAAGGACAAATTTTTCCCCTATTTTTCCCTCATGATCTGTCATTTGTGGGGATTGAAAATCTAAACATGCTTTTTTATTTGCAGGTTACTTTTTTGAATGAGCCCGGGTTGGTAGCAACTAAGATATTTATAGGTTTGTTAGTAGACCATGTGAAATGTGTTTGGCTCATGGAGAATTGACAAGTATTCATATTGTGTGATTTTCTAACTGATGCCAATTAATTATTCTGGCAATTATTCTATTAAGATTCTAGTGTTCTTAGGATGTGGAATAGTGGTGGGTTTATGCAGGGAAGGTTTACTGGTGTTGTCCACGCATATCTGTTATCTGCCTAAGAGACATCTTAAGTTAAAGCTGATCTTCTCGGACCTGTATATGGCTATTCAAACTTTAAGGATTTAAATTCTCCTGAAAAATGTAATAATAAAGATCGTCCTTATCTGATGAATTGTTAAACCTTTGAAGGTGTTCAGTTGAAGATTGAGAGTTGCTATGATTTCTATTCTAATCAAAAGCACCATCAATCTTCTTTCTTCAGATTTCTCTTATTCCAAGCTTCTTCCAGGAAATGAAAACTATAGTAAAAACTTCAATTTCCTTATCCAACATCTGAGAATATACATTCTTGTTCCTTTCCAGGCTCCTGGGTACGGTGATGTAAGACTTTCATTGGAGACAATACCAGATACTGTAAATTTGGAAGAACCTTTTGACATTACATGTAAAATAACGAATTGCAGGTAACAATGTCATGCAATTCTTGTACTTTTTCCTGAGTGGGTGAGTTGTGGCTGGTTTTGTTTTATGTTTCAGTACTTCCTCCTGAAAGTACTTAAACCTGGTCTTTACTATGATTTGTGGCAACACAAAACTACTTAAAACACAGAGATTAAAAAAGCCCCAAAGAAACAACAACTAAAAAACTTCTATCATTATGTGTTAATAACTGTACTGAACTAGGAAATAGCCAAAAATCTGTAGAGGAATCCCATTAATCTGTCTGCGATATTATTTATGATTGCTCCTCATACTTAAATCTCAACTCATCTTAGGGTTGCAAGACTGACATTTAAGTGAACTAATTCTAAATAGAAATTGAGTCCAGGGACTAAAGCATGTATCTGGCCTGCAGATACTTCTCATGAAAAGCTTGTAGTCCATCCAAAATGTAAACACTATTATGTTATCCAGTATTGCTAAACCCATGACAGGATGCTTGTGTTAAACAGAGCTGTCTGCAGCTGAATTACTGTGCATCACAGTAAATAGTGCTTGACACCTTATAATTATTTATGAATCTTGATTAACAGTAACCTGAATAATAATCAAGCTTTTGTCTGCAGTCTTTGAATCCTTAAAAAAGCCCACAGGTTTATTCTTGTTTTTCAATTTCCTCTAGCAGTGAAAGGACTATGGATCTGGTTTTAGAAATGTGCAATACTAATTCCATCCACTGGTGTGGAGTTTCAGGAAGGCAACTTGGAAAGCTGCACCCAAGTTCGTCCCTCCATCTTGCACTTACATTGTTGTCTTCAGTGCAGGGATTGCAGGTAAGTTGTTAGCACAGTTTTGTTGTAAAACAGATGTTTTATAATATTAACAGTTCTTTATAATAACAACAACTCTTAAAATATTTTCCCCTTCTAGAGTGTCTCTGGCCTAAGACTTACAGACACATTTTTGAAGAGAACATACGAGTATGATGATATTGCACAAGTCTGTGTAGTTTCTTCAGAAATCAAGCAAAGCTGAAGAAAAAAATCCTGTAAATTTACTGAGCTTTTTTTTTCCAACTTCATGTTTTTGCAGTCACTTGTTTTAAGATGAGTACAAACAAAATCAAATCCCTATATAGCTGTAAATGTGATAATGATTATTTAATTTCTCTGAGCATTTCTTGAATGTTTTCAAGTCTTTTAAAACATGCATATGCATTTTAGCTACTAAAAATAAAACCTTTGAAAAAAGTGTAGTTCTAGTAAATTATATTGCATTTACATCAACTCAGGACAGGGGGATGAGACTCATAAGAAATACTAGCATTTTATGCTTATTTTTCTCATCTTAATTTTTTAAAGTATTTAAACCCTTTTAAAATCCTGGCTCTGACAAAACTGCTTCAGTTCAAATGAACTGACCTTCTACAGACAAGTTCCTGTAATCCAAATTAAAAAATAAAAAAGGGCATGGCAGTGTATTTGTGTGGTACATGTATAGCCATAGGAAATAAAACCTGATAAAGCTATGAGGTGAAAGAGTGCAGCTGGCACTAGGAGCTGGGAAGTGGAGTATAAGCCAAAGCCTCTGTTGGTTGTGACTCACTCTTTGAAGAGGAAGTAATACACCAAATCTATTCCAATTGTCTGCAGTCAGAACCAGTATTGTGCATTCCTGCAATACAGGACATGCTGTGAACAGGCATGTTATTTTTCAATTAGTAGTGAACTGAAAACTAAAATAGTAGAAGTCAGGTAGTTTTTATTGTTAAAATACAGTGTGGACAATTATTCTTTCCAAGAGGCATTTAAATAGATTTTTAAGAAAAATAAGTTGAAAAACCAACCTTCATTGCTGGCTTCAATCAAGTTCTCTAAGCATATACGACAAGAAGTTTAGGGCCTGGTAAAGCACTACAAGTGCTTTTCCTTAGCTTTGTTTTGACAAAAACTGAAAATACTTTTGGCTGAAATATCATCATATTGTCACCTAGAGGCAGCCATTTAATAGATAAAATGGCAACTGTCTTTCCTAGTTTCACACTAGGTAAACTAGTGTTAAATTCTCTAATCAGCAGCTTATATTTCTCAGATATTATGTTGACATGTAGCAACTTTATAGTTCGTTTTGACACTATTTTACTTAAGGCTTCCCATGTGTAAAATCTTAAGTGTAGTATTCAGTGTTAAAATATTGGAACCAGCTTCATATATTGAGGGACTAAGTCCATACATAGAACAGTAAATTAGAAATGTGTCCTGCCTATGTGATAAAATCCAACCAACATGAATAGATATTTAAAGAATGCAATTTGCCTGTTACTTGAGATACATTAAAATATTAAACCAGAAAACCACAACTGTAGAGACAAAAAAAGTATATAACTTTATTTAGAATGTATCTTCAAGTTAGACTACACAAATTGAAGGAGATGTAACCACATGGCAGTAAGAGGTAGGAGAGAGACAGAAATAGTAGACAAGTTGCATTATGCCAGTATGATTTTCTGTTGCCATAAAACAATCTACTCAAAGTTAGAGCTAGTTCTATGTTAGTATGCGTGAGTGATTTTACTTTGCACTTGTTACAAAACCAAGAGTGCAACTGAAACAATTTCTAAGCTGAATATTTCATTAGGTTTCTTTATGATCACAGTTAGAAGAATATACTCCCATGCAAGCAGGTTACAGGAGTTTACAATAGATTGCAAAATATTTTCCTCTCTAACAAATTATCATACTTACACATTGATGGAACAGTAATGATACAAAACCAATTAGGTGTAAATACAGATTTGCTCAGTTAAGGGATAAACTGCAACTGACCTTAAATTAAAGCACTATTTACAGGGATTGTGGTTTACCACTTTATCTAGCAAGATGAAAAATTTTAGCACAAAATACAGTGCAGTTACTACACATGAAAAGATTCCTTCCATACCCTGTGATTAAGACATATTGCATGACTGAAACAATCCAGGCAATTCAAAGAAAAGCAGACCTTAGCATAAATGATCTCTCTGTTCATGGTTTCGTGGAAAAGCATATAATGACAGCTCCTGTTACTGGTTTCACTGTTTTTTTTTGTTTAGGCAATAAAGCCCTTTCTGTTAATACAAGAAACAAAGAATGTTTACTAGTAAAGAATTGTGCCAGTCAGTTGTGGCACATTCCTGAAGGCCTAGCTAATGCTGTTAACATTTTAATATATACTCTGTATTATCTGAAGTAAAAACCTAAACACAACAATATTGTAGCATGTGAAATGAAAAGCACAGCTCCATGAAGGTGACTTCAAGAGCAGTTTTTCAGATAACCAAAGCTTCATTCCATTTAACCTTGGGGATTGTTCCCCATAAATCCAGTAAGCTATGGAGCTTGTTCTTGACAATACAAGTACACAACTTCTTCTGCCCTCTTTGGATGTTAACATATTTTGTAGTTCTTAAGGAACTCTCATGAAATTATTGACACTCTGTCTTATAGCAGAAAAGTAACTAACTGCATGAGGATTACTGTTGCAAAGTGAGAATGAGTTTGTAGAGATATTGGCAGAGCTGTCCAGTCTGCCATGGATTTTTTGGTTCCTCCTATGAAAGTTAGTGAAACACACTTTGAGCAGCTGAAGATATGAAAGACAATTAGGATACATACTAGGTGCAATGCTTCCCTCCTGACACAACACACTATTCCAAGTAATACCTCTACAGTTTTTGTTGCCCACCCAGAGCCTCCATAACTCTTCCTTCTAAACGGTATTCCTGTCCTACTCAGTGTAATTGAACTTAAGTAAGTTTCCTTGAATGGATTAGATTCAGGATCTGAGCTACCTCTGAAAAAAGACCCTTTTAGGGATTCTCTTTCTTGTCATCAGATGTTAAGTCAGAAGCTGTTACATGAAAATGTATTTAATATAAAGCTTAAGTATCTCTACAGCCTGAAGAAAGCAGCTACACCAACTTGAGAATTTTAAAAAGCATTTTACTGCTGTACATAGGCAAGCTATTCAATAAAGTATGAAATGTCTTAAAATTGTTTATCTATTAAGCTTTACCTCTTTATTCAACAGACAATCATTTGGATTTCCTAGATTTGTGTCTTCTCCAATTCCTTTCATTTCTCCTTGGATCCAACTGCATTTTTCTGTCTAGTTTAGTAGGGTAAGGTTCATACCACAGATGCACAACTGTAATTTGTTAGAATCAAGTATAACTTAGCCCCAAATTTTGCAGTTGCTTCTGCTGGAGGAGCTCTTTTATGAGCACAAGATTAATTGGATATAAAGGTTCAGGAGTTCCTGTGCATTTCTCCATTTGGGAGTCTACTGTTACTCCTCCACATACCTCCTTCCAGACTAACTGGCCGTGAGAGATCACTTTGTCTAAGAAATCAAAGCAGGCTCCTCAAATTAGTTTAGTTATACAAAGAGGAAAGTGTGTTGAGAGCCTCCCTGGGCTAAGAACAAGTGTACTTTGTATCAGAAAGCAGCAATGAACAATAAGCAGAGTAAAAAAAGTTAACATACTAGACATACAGAATAGCAGCAGTCTTGCAAGTGTAATATTAACTGAGCAAGAAACTATAGAGTCAAAAAATCTTTCGACTTGACTATATAATCATAATTTTAGATAGATATGTGTAATTAAAAAAAATCCCCAATTGTTTAAGCCAGTGATTTATCACACAAGAATAAAAAAAGAATCCTTCTAAGGCAGTTCTTTTTTAAAATTTTCAGTACTAGTTATTTGTACAGTCACAGGCTCAGTTTCAGCTTATTACAGTTAAGAATTTTAAGTTTATATTAAATACTGCATACATACGGAATGTTATACAGCTTGCCATGCCTAGGAACATAGTGCCACAATTCTGACCTCCAGGGCTACCATCATGATGTGAGGGGTATACATGGCAGTAGAAAAGCCTACAACTTTCTCCTTATTTTCACAAGCCAAGTTCCATTTTGATTTCTGTGCATTATCCTACACAGAACTATTGTCTTCTCTTTCTCTACAATGTGTGGTACTCCTTCATTTGCAGTAATCTCCCTCCCTTCTGCCCAATGAAGTTGAAAAGTATTTCCTGTTACACATGAAGGCCCCTTCACAGGATTAAGGAAACAGACTTCTCAAACATGAGTTGTAAATACACTCTTATATTCCAACACTACTTAATGCTCATTATAAAAGGGCACATCAGGTGGGCCTATTGTTTCAATATTTCAATATTTCAATACTGTTTAAAGGAGTACATACAGCCATCATTATTCTTACCATAGAAGTAACATGTCTTCTACACTAGCATTTTAGAAGTAGCTGTTAGGCAAGATCAGCACAGTACAAGACTCCTCCCCATTTAGTAGTCCCGGAGGTCAATCTGATGCACATACTGAAATGACTTGGACTTGAGGATTTTAATAAACCACCTATTCAGTGTATTAATTTTCAGAGGAGTAACTATACATAAACGCTATGTTCCAAGTTATGTGCAAGAGATCGGTTTACCAGATTTATTCTTGTTTGCAAACACACACAAAGAATTTTCTGTCTTCTATTCAAGCAGAAGAGTTACAATGGTGCTTTTGCTACTAACTATGGTATGCATTTGGGGGTTATATATAATTCCAATTCACATGACTCCTTGAAGTCAGGAATGTTCTTCAGTGCTGCCACTCAAGTATCTGCTCCGGATATGATTTCTCAGTTGCTCTATGAGCTCAGGATTCTGCTGCTGTATCTGCTGTGCAAACTGCTGCCCCCTGTGTTGAACAGTTTTAAGTGAAATCAGCAAGCAAAAGCAGCAAGAAAACAGGGTATCTCAATACAGCTGAAAGTTGCATTACATTAAAATTAAGATTAAAGATATCTTGATTTACACTGTTAAGGTATTTGCAGTATTATGAATTTATCTGGTTAAAGTGTCTCCAAATAGGATCATCATCATAAATTTATTTTCATTCTTTAGTACTATTACTTCTACTTGATAACATGGAGGAGAAAAGTATCACCTTACAAAATATATTACCTTTTATGGTAAAATAACACATCTGCTCCAGTGATTTATTCCCTTCTTTTTGAGAGGATCCACTCTAACTGTTTAAAGTAACTACTCTTAGAAGTGGTGTGCAACCTTATGTTAACGGTTCCAGAAATACATTATGCAGCTGCCGACTTGCAAACGAGATGTCATTAGTTGAAAGCAAGCATACTATCAAATTTTTGTATCTTGGATGACTAGTAATAACAGATCTTACATCTGTAACAGTTGTAGCTTAAGAGTTAAATTAATAGGGGAAATTAATTCTATGTATAAGAGAAGCATAACACTTACTTATAAAAAACAAATAAGTAAAAAAATATGACTTCACTAGAAGCCTAGCTTGTCCTCTCTGTTACTTCTACATTTTGTACAAGTAGCAAACTATCAAGACTCCTTCATACTACAGTGCAGGTTAAAGGAAAGCTACGTCTTTATAAATGTCTGTGTAGTACATTTTTTTTGTGAAAATAGCGCTAGATTTTTGCAGTGAGACATTTCTGTCTGTGACGTAAATCATAAATGACTTTTGCCCTGAAGAGGTGTAACATAAAAATAGTTTGGAATTGGCTAGAATGCTGAAATAAAATGAAATTGTATGCCCTGTAAGAGATCTTGGCATATAAGCCAATGGCATGTTTTTGTGCACATTCTTCCAGATGGATATTATCATTATAGTATAAAAGCCTTAGGTCCTGGTTTTTGTGAAGGTATTCTTCATTATCCCGAGTTTCCTGAAACATTCCTTATCTAAACAGAGGGATGCCAAACAGAAATTGGTTTGACTTGTGCTAAGTAAATTTGTAGCTTTCCTAACTAGTATCTGAGATACTAGATAGTATATTTATCCACACAATTTGAAAGCACACGTAGGACTACTTAAAAGATTTAAAGGAATGTTTTTAGTAAGTGGCATTAGAAAATAACAACATTTGAGAACCAGAAAGTGAAGCTGAGCACACAGCAGTTCAGTCATTCCAGTTGATGGAAATGTATGGAGCAAACAAACAAGGTCCAGGAAAATGTGTCTTCGACTTACTTGTTTTAATAGCAAATGGTGGGAGTAGACCATGGTATAACTCACTTGACACTGCACCCTTTTAAATAGATGTTGCACGGTTATCCTACTACAAATGTGACAGTTAAAACCATGAAGTTCTTACTTACGCATGGATCAGGCTGGACAAATCTGAAAGGCCACCAACCCCAGCAGCAGGGCCACCGATGGCATTTGACATCATCCCTGACATCCTGGAACAGTTAGCACAGTGTTAGTACTGGGGTGTGCAGGGACTTCTACTGTAAGCAATAAGCCCCGGTTCTTTTTTGAATTGCTGAGAGGAATTAAGTTGCAAGGAGAAGAAACTACACTTTTACAGTAAGCAAAAGAGAATTATATTTTCAGTAATATATCTGCATTTCAAAAATATAGCTATATGTACTATACATTTTTTATTAATTTAGGCATCTAAATACATTTGATTTAATGGTATCCCGTTTTAATACTTACAGTTGTTGAATTTGAGGATTTTGCATTAAACTTGCTGCCTAGAATAGACAACATACAGCTGAAATTATAAAACGTTTACTATTCGGCTATCACTGAGAAAAACATGGGAAAAAAACCACATGCTGCATTCTGTTTTATAACTAAATTAAGTTTACATGCAGAGCAAAAAGAATCACTGCAGCAGTGTATTTCATGGAAGTGAAGCGGATTTGTTATGTGTTAAAGAAAAAGTAGTGGTTACAGATTCAGACATTAAAAATATGACAAGTCATTAAAAAAAACACTACCAGAAAACTGAACAAACAAATGAAACATTGAAGAATTGCAAGGACAAATGTTTTGTACTGGACTTTTTGGACTTCTTGGACAAAAGTTTGTATTTTGTTGCTTCTCAGCCTGGATAAATTCATTTTGCAACTATTATTAGTAGCAGGCATTAACAGTTAAGATTATGGCCACAAAATGTTTCAGATCAAACCTGGACTTACTTTGTAGCATGGTTTTGTGGTAACATATATCTTCTCTGGTAACTGCATATCTTCTTACTTTGTAGTAAGCATGAGGCTATTTAAATTTCTCATTCATTAGATATATCTAAAATTATATTGCATTTATCATACTGTAAGAGTGTCTACAGACTGATACTATAGAAAAAAACATGATTTTTCAACATTAGCAATGCAATTCCTAAGGGAATCAGTGTATGAATATACCACCAGTAGAAAAAACACAGTATGTGCTTCTTAACTCTCATTACAGATATTACAAAAATCAGATATCATCAATATATCGACATACATAGATAACTCAAAAATAAATCAACTTTTTTCTGTAGTTAGTAGTTAGATATGAAATGTCACATGCAGGTCAGTTCTGTGCTCAGTGTAGGGTTAGTTTCTTCCATCAATAATAAGCTTTAGTTTAGGGGCCAAAAACTGCAGCTACAAGCAATTTTCTCAAGGTCAGACAGTGAGACAATTTTTTCACCTTAACCAAAAAAAACAACTACACCTTCGGAAAATATCTCATTTATTCCTGGATAAATGTTCTATCTACTTCACCAGGCACCTTCGGGAAACAATGTAAAAGATCCTTTCCCCAAAGCCAGCTCCCTACATCATTGATTCTAAACAGACACAGGTTGTCTTAAGTACACATGTGGCCAGAGAAGCAGTACACAGAGTTCCAGTGCTATTTAATCATGAATACCATCAGAGAACTTGCTCCCTCTTTCCTTGCCTACTGTCTCTATTATAATTTGGACCCAGTTATCAAACCAGATGGATGCATCTCTCGAATGCACCACACTTCCACACAAAGGCATTGGTTGAAATGTGCTGTTTCCAATGAAGTTACCAGAGGTCTTGTAAAGTTTTAACTTCTTTTTTAAAGGAAGTGAGTTCGGGGTTTGTTTTTTTTTCATTTATTTTTCTCCAAATTCCCTTCTACAAAATTAATTAATTACATTTAGCTACAAAAGCCATGTGGGGAAAAAAAAAGAATACTGAGGGAGAAATAAACAATTCATTATTGAATGGAACATAAAAGAATGCACTGTATGCTATGTATATTAATTTTTTTAATCTTAAGGTTATTAGGGATAATTTGAAAGCGTAATAACAGAAAGGTCTTGGGTAGTTCTCCTGAAGGAGTTACTTTCATCTTGGTATCATTGCTAACTGCTCTGTGGAGAATTGAAGAAATTTTCATCATGCTGTTGATAAGAGCTTTACTGTCATATCATACATAAAAACAGCATAGATAACCTATGTGTGTTGTTTTCTATAAGTAATGGAGAAGCAACTGGAAAAAAGACAGGCATTATTGAAGATACTTGCTTCACTTCCTGTTTTGAGTGTAAAATGATGTAGAAAATTCAGTAGATGATGATGATGTAGAAATTCAGTGTAATAAAACATTGCTATAATAATAATCATTAAAATTGCTTGTGTTATTGAACAACAGTTCTTCCTAAAATATCAGCTTTTAAAATAGGATGATGCAAACCTTGAGATATACTCACCATACTAATGAAGGCAGGATTGTTTATCAAGCTTGCCATGTCAAAACTCAGTCCAGTTCCAGTCTACAAACAAATTGCAATTGAAGCTAAGTTTCCTACAAAATCCCAGTTAAAACTATTGTAAATAAATAGATACAGAGCAAACTTACAGGACTGGACACGTCTCTTAGTTTCTGTTCTGCTATTTTCAAATTTGACTTGTAAGAGTCATTCTCTGGATCAAGATCGAGTGCTTTTTGATAACTGGTAACTGCTTCTTGATACTTATTCACTGAGGTCAGAGCCAACCTAATGTGAAATAAAGAAATCCTGGTTAGAACAAAAATGATCATCAAAAGCTAATGATACAACTTCTGTTCTAAGTAAAACAGTATCTCACAACTGATTTTTAGCTTAACCACTTAATTAAAACAGGTTGTTATTGTGGTACTACTGCTTAGTATAAGCACTTGTTTTTGCAGAAAAGGGGGATCCCTCAAAAATGCATATTGCATTGTCTGTTTCATATATATGCAAGTTTCATTAAAAACTCCTTAGTATCATCAAGTGACTTAGTCACTTTAAGAGCACAAGCTGGATCCAGCATCTGTGACTTTTTGCATAAGCTCTAAGTGGTTTTTCCAGTTCTTTTGACCCAAGAGATTAACTAGAAACTTACAAAAGTAGGGCAAAGATACTCATAATATGAGTTATGCAATGTTAAGAAACTGGACCTACAAATACATTATTTATATATATATATTTAAAAACTAATACTTTTAATAATTAGTATATTAAATATTTGAATATAGAAGATGTTTTATAATTATATTGTCTTTATACATTTATATGAAAATTACTATTATCATTATTTTAAAATACTGGACCTATAAGTTTCAGCATAATCGATTTTTGTCTCAGGATCAATGTTAAGGTTCTCCTTTCACATGTTGTACTTCAACAACATGACAAATGGGTTATACAGCATAGTAGTAATATCTGTAAAATCCTGTAAGAAACCCTTGTATCAGGGAAGCCTATTTAATATTTTGAAAAATACTCTGCTCCAGCAGCCCATGAGAGCACGGGACAGACGTACTGCTTTTAAGCAGTATTTGTTTTCCTATTTGATTAGCTGCTATAATTAAAATATCATATTTCTTTGAACTATTCCAGAAGTTCATCCGGTTGCAGTTTCTTTTCTATCTGCTATTGTATTTTCATTTTATACTGACCAAAAAACTAAGCTGATCTTTTGCACATTTTGTAAAATACCTGTATAATCTACATTCAGCTATCTAGTACTTCAGTTCACCTTCTGATGCTGAGCTATACAGCCTGGGTTGATAAACTTGTGCTTATGCACACTAACAGACCTTGATCTTTTGTTTCATGTCATCAAACAAGTTCAACGTTTTAGATACATCTGTGATTGTCATTGCTCTCAGTAAGAGTATGAAACTTCAGGACTTTCCAATATTGCTCCTGGAGGAACCCACACACTATTAGTGTTTTCTCTCTTAACTCATTTACCCTCATAAAAAACAGTCTCCTTTTGGCCCATTAATTTGCCAAAATAGTTTTTGACCAGACAAGTAATGCAATCCATTATTTCTGTGATGCAATAGTGCTTTTTGCAGAAAAAGTATTTTACTGAGAAAGTTTCTTGAAGCACAGTAGAAGTCAGAACAGTAGACAATTTCTTTCCTCACACCCCCTACCCTGACAAGTGGTCTTTCAGGATCATGCTGGAAATACCTTTAACTGATATTTCCACTTTAAAATTGCTCCCATCTCTGTATATTTGTGGCATTTCTCCATCTTTCTGTGACATAAAAAATTTCTGTCAAAGTCTGAGAAAAACTGGTATCTCCATAATGCAGTCAGAGAGCACATCTGTTTCAAAGGACTTTTTGTTGAGAAGGTGTTTTCTACACTGGGGGCGTGGGGGTGGGATTTTCACTTATTACTAAACAAGCACAGTTTTCTCATTCAGCGTATGCCAAATGTGTAATCATTTGCTGGGTTAAGCAATGTCTTGCAGCTCCAAATATGTCCTCTATTAACAACTAGACAATAAAATAAAGAGAAGTTTGATTGCCTGAGAATAATCCCACTTTCAGTGCGTATCAAAGAAACATTAGTCTTAAACCCAGTACTCTCAAATAACCTCCAATCTCCAATTAAATCAGCCTGCAGCATCCCTCCATACCAGTGAAATCACGGGAACTTGGATTGTGCTATATGAAGAAACAATCTAAAGAGAGTTAAATGAAATAAAACCAATTCAACAACCAATTCAATCTAAAATTTCGAAATTAATTCATAATTTGAAAAGCTCCTTAGTCTAGATTGGTATTAGTAAAATTAACTGTATTATGTAAAATTTTAAAGTGATAGAATTCCACCATATTTTAATTTTAAATAAATGTCCCCTGCATGGTTTTGTCCTAGGCCAACAAGAATTATCACAGACAGTTTCAGGGCATGGTTCAGAATTTAATATAGACCAATGCAGTTTAGCAATATGTTGTTTGGATGTGGCCACTCCATACTGCAAACTAAATTTTAATAACATGGCATGAGCCATTTTGTGCCAACAGACTCAAAAACAATCCCAAGTATTTTTTAATTTACTGATATAACCTCAAAAGCCATATGTAGCATTAAGTCCACTACCACAAGGCACTTGATTACTGAAAATGCAAAGCTGGACATCTTGGAAGAATGGCCCTTCACTGAAACGAACAGCCTCTTACAGCATTCCTGACATTGTTTTCAGGTACCACTTAAAACCACCCTCAAGAGGCAGGCTATACAATTAATCTCTCAGACATTGTTGAGAAAACCTGCCAAAGAGACTTAGCTTATTCTTCCTAAAATATCTGCTTCCAAAGAGCTATTGAACAGAAAAATTAAGGCTTTATTGCTGCTCATGTGAAGCCCGAATGCTGTTCTCTACCAGCATCATTAACAGATTCAGTGTTCCAATAGTAGAATTTTTTGATTACTTGTAACTATTTAGGAGGTAGTAAAAACCATCATTACTTCCTACACTAAATCCAACAAGTTGATAAATTGAAAAACTGCAAACTGATGAAATCTGATGAAAATGCTGGTATCAACCACATAAAAAGAGCTGACAGTCTGATAGGGTCATCTTCAGAAAACTGCTGTACTTACACAACAATGTTCTGTAAGTGAATAAAACAATCTTTTTTGTTATTTCAGAATATCTGAAATATGATCTGTGGTGATATACACCTGAGTCTTCAGTGTTTACTCAGATTTCTATTAGCTTACCCCATTCTTCCATATGCTTTACTGTACTTTGGATCTATTGCTATGGCACTCTCACAGTCCTTTATTGCTTCCCTGAAGTTGTTGAGCTTACTTTGAGCAGCAGCCCTAAGAGAGAGAGAGAGAGATGGTAAGGAAGTGAACCTTTGTCAAAAAAAACCCAGCCAGCCAACCAACCAAAGAACACAAAAAAACCCAAAACCAAACCAAACCAAACAAACCCAAAACAAAACAACCAAACCCCAGGCCTAGATATTCACATGTTTGTGACTTATTTAATCTTACTGACTTTTCATTTGCAATTTAGGCTATGCTTAACTTTTTTTAATAAAGGAGGACAAGCAAAAATTACAGGTTAATAAGTATGTATGTTGCTGCACTACAGTTTTGAAGAACATGCACTCTCACCTCTGAGGACACAAAGGACAAATAATTCTAAGGAACTGTCTAAGATACAGCATATGACTACACACAAAATAAATCATAAAATCTATTACAAGAAGTGAAACTGTCAAGTAGTAGTTTATATAAAAATCACTGTTTAGGAGAAATATTTTACACAAATGATATTTTCCAATAAGTATCGTTTTACAGCCATTCAGAGGAATGCTGTGATTTTTCCCTGCTCAGGTTTTCAGAAGTCAACTCAAGCTTGTAGGTAAATCATAATAACATTTCTCAATAACCTGTGCATTACTAAATTACAGTTGCATCTCTGTATTGGAGAAATACTAAGTGTTGCAGATATTAATACAATTAGATTAAAGAACTGACCAAATTAAAAAGGACATTGAAACACATTAATAATCAAAACCTTCATCAATTTGAAAGGTCTCAAGCCACTCTCATTTATTCTTCCTTGGTTAAAAAAAACATAGTGGAAATTCTAGTATTTTCACTGCATAAAGCATATATCTTTTTTTATTAAGAATCCTTTCTTCTGTGATTAGCAGAAATTGCATGAGTTTTTCTGACTTTGATTAAAATGTCTTCTGAATGGGCCTACTTATCTATTTTGGGCTGTTTAACAGTTTTCCAACTCCACAGATGCCAGTGAAGATTTATAAATAAAAGCTGCGGGCAATGCTTGTTCTCACGTGTTTGAATAGAAAACATTTTTCCTCATTCACAAGAAGTTTTACATGGCCATCTAAAATTCTGAGGGCTTATCAGCCCACCCTTTTTTGCACTGCTGTGAATAAAAAGCAATCCCACTGAAAGGAGCATGTCCCCATGACTCCCAAACAAGCTTAAGATAAGGTATATACTTATCGAAATATTCTATCATCCACAAAACTCCAAACAACTCCTGTTTTCTTTTAAATCATTACATACAATTCTGCTCTTGCTAGTTACAACTTTGACATTTAAGCCCCTACTGAGGAAACTTTGAGTGATTTTGGGAAGTTTTAGAATCTGGTCTGATATTTATGTTACACATAAAATGACTCATAATCAGGTTTCACAAGGAGTATAAATGATTTATACTTTTGAACTGCCACCCTAAATATGTAAAATGTTAGCAAACTGCCTAATTTCCTTTCTCTTTAAACTTGCTTTTAAACACTGAATCTTTCATTTATCACAAACTAAACTCTGGAGCAATGGATGCAGACCTTCCAAAATAGCTTAATCCAGTGGGTACAGTGCCACAAGGCCAGATTGACAGAACTTAAGTTAATATATCTTATATCCTTAAATTAATAATGGAGGCCCTCTAGAGGTGGGCTCATTCCAGTAATGCCTAAAGTCGAGACTGCCTTTGCTCTTGGGCTGGTTTTCCAGTCAGTGTTCTGCAAGAGCAGACAGCTGTGACTAGGTTAACATGCCCTTCCAAGCTTACCTGCTGCCAAATCACTGTCTTCTTCATTCATGATGGTAAAGAACAGATTAGATAAGAAAACCTAACAGCAGCACTGTTATTTTTCAATAGGTCACACATGAAAATACTGAGTATTTACAAAATGCTTGCAATCTCCAAAATGGTATTCCTGCCTTGATAATTTTTTTTGTCAGAGGTAGCTAGTACTCGAGGAGATAGAGAGAGCAGCTGAGTCACTAGAACATCAGAGAAAAAGGCTTTTACTACTCTTTGAAGGCTGGAAATCACAGCCTACATTATGATTTAATATAGAAAACCTGACGCACACAATACCTGATCTGAAGAGTTGTAAGCAATTTTAAAGCCCATTTTAACTGATACAGGTAGGCTGAATGAACTTGCTCTCACTCTAATTTTACAAATCAATAGGTTTCTAGCCTCATGTTACTTTGACGTATTTCACAATTAATCTTTAAAATAATGTTAACAAAGTCCAGGAAATGTGCATCATTTTGGTTTTACCTGTTGCAGTAATAGACTGCATTGTTTGGATCCAGTTCTATAGCCCTAGTGTAACAATCCACTGCAGCACCATAATTTTCTTCCTTCATATGATTATTACCTGAAATAAATTATAAAAATTATAGAAAGCTCTTAAGTAATTAGATGAGATTATGTAGTTAGATAAGACAGCTCTGTATGAAAGAAACAGAGCAACTACTTTCTAGCATCTATATAAGTGAGTTATGACTGCACTTTTTTGAGATACAGTCTTTTAAACAGAAAAGTCACAGAATAATGCAAACAAAAATATCTACTCTGTCAGTGAAGTTTATTATGTACATTGCAGTACATCAGAGAAACCTTCCTCTTTTCATCTTGATATTTCAGATTTTCCAGCTAGTTTCTGCTGTTAAGGAAAGATCACCTCACTGAAAAGTGTCATTTTAACTGCTGTTCAACTCTAGTATAGATTCATCAGTCTTAACTATCTTTGCAAGCCCAATATGCTATGTTAATTTTGTAATCTCATTTTCTTGTATGTCCAAACAACTTGCTTCTAGCTATCTAAATAACACAAAAAAATCAAACAAAAGTAAAACTAAGCACGTAAGCCCCATTTTTGTGATACTACGTAATTAACTTATTAGGATAACAAAAAGTATGTATAGCATAAGCAATCTAAAAGGATTTAGAAGTAAAATTTCTCACCAAGGAAGCTTAGAACTGCTCCTCTGTAACAAAGTTTCACATTTCATATGTTTTAAGTCCAGTGGAAAAAAAAACAGAAACATTTATGTGACTTCTCTATGGAGAGAAAATTCTGGACTAAGGTCTTTCAAAGCAAAAGACACCTTACACATTATTTTGTCCCCAACACAAGGCTATCTTGGTAGTTTCTCTCCTTCCTGATGACAGAGTAGTAAAAAAATCCTAGTTCAGAGTGCCCAAACTTGTCTGTGGTCCTGCTATTACGAATTTTTGGCCAGCGAGACCCTACAGAAGCTTTGATTTCCTAGAAATATCAAGAAATGGTCAGGAAAATTATAGACTTCCACTGACTTCTTGTATTTCAGCCAAATATTTAAACCTTCTCCTAAAATAAACAATTCAAGGGATAGGTCAATAAGTTACTACTGATGTAGGTAACTGCGTAAGCAAAGGCTAGAAAAGTTCAGTCAGTGCAACAGTTTATCTCCGAGAGAAAGCAAGACTGTGGAGCAAGTCCTCAGTGCTTGCACTAACTGAAAAAAACTTTACTTGCATTCATTTGTGAACACAGAGAGCTGAGTGAACAAAAGTAACAAAGATTTAAGATTTAAGTAATGAAGTATCATCAAAGTTGTACAAAAATCACATCCTCTAACACTGCTATATTAGACTGTAATTATAGTAAGCAGTCCCTTCGAGTGAGAAGTCAAACAAACTGTACTTGCATGTATACCTTCAAAATACACAGAGAACGTAACAATATCTTTCTTGTTTCTAGAGGCCCACTCTTCACGCAGCTTCCCTTTGTTCTAAGCTAAAGATCTGTGCACTAAATTATGTTGTCAGACAAAAAAGCCTTGCAAGTTAGCTGCACTCAGCAAGATTGCAGCAGTTAGTGTTCCTTTAAAGCAAAAATGCCATCAATGACTATCAGAATTTCTGATACTGGTCTGAATATGACCCAGGGTACAAGGCTAAGTTGGAGATAGTATCAGTGCATATCCTTCTTGTTATCTCTCTCTCCAGCTGCAACCTTGCTAAAGGAAAACAGAAAAATAGCTAGATCTACTAATTCTACTGAGATAAGGAGAAGCAACTATATTTTTCTATTTTAATATTCTATTTTATATTTTCTGATAATATTCTATTTTAATACAAAACCCTTAAGACAAAAAATTACACAAATTGTTATACTTTTGAACATGTGTCCCCTAAACTGAAAATACTACTTATTGTTATAATTATGCTGTGGTAATAAAACACAGGATCTTCCTACCGCTCTTACATTATACAAACCTGCACATAATCTATGCTCTTGCACATCTTACACTAAGCCAAAGTGTCAAATGATATGCAAGGTTAGGCAAGTAAATTCAAGTATTATTAGGCAAGTAGTCTGAAGGGTATATTACTTCCCGGTTACCAAGACAGAAAATTCAGCTCCCTGACTCTGTTTTGCCATTCATTAGACAATTTCTATAAATATTAGGGCTGGTTTGAGACCAGAGGAGGAGCAGGCTGGTGGCCACAAAGATGAGGGAAGTCAATCCATTAGTAAGGGCATACACATAAAAATGAGGAAATCAGAGTTATAGAATTATGATATTATAGAAGATACACATCAAGTTGACTTCCCCAAGTTATCTAACTTATTTCCTAATTTGTGTTAGAAAATACTTATAACTGAAAAGCATGATAGTGGTGATAGATAATGTGTGTGAACATGTGGAGGATCAAAACAACAGAGAAAGCAAGAAACTAAGTTTAATTTTGTTATGGGAAATTACCAAAGGCGATTCAGGCAGTTCAGAACTGCTTACTAATGCCCCTGACAGATGACACTCTAATTGGTCCTTCATTAAAGTTTAGACCCTTCCAATTTTTTCAGTAGAGCTGTGGAATTACTTAGGTAAAACCACACAAAGACTAACATATAGCACACACTAATTTCATTTCCTCAGTCTATTTCACAGACCCTTGTGGACTGAAAGATAGCAAGACTGAAGTCACAGATTTAAAACAGCTATAACACCCACACCTGCAAACTGCTGACTATTCCTGCGGTTCAATAGCCATACTGAGACCTATTCTTCACTTTCTATGAGTTGGCAGTAACAGCAGAACAAAAAGCCAGCATGCCCAACAGGTAGGTTACAACTGACTAACACATTTTCACTTGTGACCTAACCATGTTTGAGCTCTCATCCTTAGAATTAAAGAGCTAACAACTCTAATAACTAGGAAAACTTATTTTCAGAGCCAGCAGTGGATTGCATTTATGATTACAGATGACCACTTTTAAAGTAAGAGAGACATGGAATCCATTTTGAAAAACAGTAGAACTTCTTCCACATTATTATGGAAATTTTGAGAGGATTACATCTGCCTTGCAATTATAAGTTTACTTACATTTTCTATAAAACTCAACTACCTGAAAATCTATCAGGTCAAACAATATTCATAAATGATTCATAAAGCATCAATTTGTAACAATTCATAACAGTTATCAGTGCTACATGTTTTTTCCATTCCCCTCCCCTTCTTTTTGTGGGGAAATAACATGGATTCCTTCTTAGGCAGCATTAGTGCATACAGCTGCTTTCCCTCACAGAACAGCAATAACAGCTGCCAAGGGGAAAATAAACAACAGCTTGTCTGCAATTTTTATAAAGCACACAAATAATTTCACATATGTGAAATATTAACCCTAGTAAGTTCACAGTTTTTCCATTGGCTTCTGTTGGGTCAGTTTTTTACAAATGTTTGACATCACATACCCATTTCAATAACAGCAGAAACTTGTATAACAATTCCATGCAAAACCAGCAAATAATAGCTGTTCATTCTTTAAAGCTTCTGCTACTTAGGAATGTTTCCAGCTTTACATGTTATCCCCTTAGATTTTAAGCAACTTCTAGAGCCAGGAAGAGAATAAACATTATTTCCTTTGCTCCTGGACAGAACAAATCACCTAGCCCTCCTACAACATAGCAATCACTGGACAATCTATAAGCTGAAGGTTTTTTTGTGGGGTGTGTGGTAACCAGCTGCTATACTATCACTACCCACAATAATGCAAAAATGTAATAAGAGCATAAGGCAAATAAGAGCATAAGGCAATTTATTTCTATTTTTATTACAAACCTTCATCCTTCAGTTGGTCAGCCTTTACAACACCTTCTGGTAAAGAACGTGAGAGAGGCAGCATGTCATTCTGTATGGGAAAAAAACCAAAAGTTCTTCCTTTAATATATAAGCCTTGATTTTATCAAAAACTTTCAGAAAGAAGTGAGAAGCATCAGCAACTATGAATGACCTCAGGCACATCAGGCATTTATCTCTGGGAATTGCAAAATGCTTAAATGAAGAATAAAAAGCTTCAAGTGAGAATGAGGCATCCACTCATTAATAATTTTCTATATGGAATTTTCCTTGTCTGGCTGAAATTAATTCCTCCCACTGCCCCCAAAGATTCACATTATGCTAGCTTTTATGGAAATGTGGGTTTTTTCATATTTTCCTTAAGTTTTCACATAATTTTGACCTATATAGCACTTTACTATTGCGTATACAATATTTAATCTTACCACATATTGGCTGAGTAACTCCAAATTAAAACTTAACTAACTCTAAATCAAATACTTACCTTTTGAATAGAATTTGTGAACATTTCTATCAAATGCTGTGAGGATGCAAGATGAGTATCTTCCAGGGTAATCTTAAACACAGTCTCCAGACACTGAATTGCAACTTACAGGGAAAAAAATTAATAACATAAGTCACCAGTTTCTCAACAGAAGTATAACTTCACTAATTTATTTATATAGCTGTGACTCACTTCCTTATTCAACTACTAAAAGCAGCTCTTTGGAACATATCAAAAAATAAAGAGAGGCTACCTGATCCCCACAGAATTAGCTTGCTGAAAAATACCTAAGATACACACAATCTACATATACTTTGGCCATTATATTTAAACCAACTTAAAATGTAATTTAAATTCTTTCAAAGTTTGTTTTTTTAAAATATAAAAATACCACAACTCATAAAACAACTATGAATGTCCATGTGTCACACACCCCACCTCAAAGCACACAACTGTCATATATTTCTGTGTCATAACAGCTAGAAGAAAACGGCTCATCTTTATTGTACAGAATAAAGGCAAGATACTTACTACTCTTATCTTTCTTTGGAATGAAATATATTTGTTTGAAGATACTTTATTAATCAAATGCTGTATTAATCACAAAACTTTATCCTATTAAAAAAATGTATCTGCAATATCCTTTCACATTATCTATGTGTAAGGCCTTCCCAAACCTGCAATAATTCAAATACACTCACAGTAAACCTAAAAATGTAGGATTTTTATCCCTATCTAAAGTTTTAAATATGCTCATATTCTTCGACAAAATAAGATCAGTGGCAATCACTATATAAAATTCTGTCTATATACATGCATATATATGTGTGTGTTCACACACAGAGTTACATTAATGTAGTGGTTTTGGTTTACCAATCTTAGTTTTTGGCTACAAACCACCACAACTATTGCAAATGATTTAATTACTTTCCCTATAATCTCAAGAATCTAGTACAATGTTTTTATTAATGTGTATCATCTAAATGTTTTAGACTGAAAACTGAGGAGGAACAAAGAAGGGTCTTCATAAAGCCTCGCATGAACAGAAAAACGGATGTTTTAACACAGATTATAGACAACCAAGAGTATCTAAATTCAAATTAAGTACCAGTAAAAGCAGATTCTTGGTATTTAAGCTTTCCCATCAATCCAATGTTAATACAATAAATATAATTTGAATTATTAGTTGTATTACAATGAAACAGAACACTGATCCAAAATTAGAAAAGTAAAATCACTGAAGGCTAAGAACAGTAAGGCCGGTTTTTATCTTCTGTGTCACAGCTGGCAAAAAGGGGGTGGGGAAGAGTTTTGTAAAACAGGTAGTAAAACCTAGAAGATATAATTTAAAAAAATACAATAGAAATTTCTAACAAACACTATAACATGACACAAAGTTAAATAACATTAACAAAGTTGATAACATGTAACAATTGAATACACTGCTAAATATACATCTAAGTTGCTCCTATAATCTATAAATAAATTGACCAGGTCCTAAATCACCCAGTAAGAGCACTGAGGGATTTGGGTTAAACTTCTTTGTCAACTGCTAAGTGAAAAACTTAATTCTTGTAAACACGGATTATGCTGAATTTTGAAATATACATAAAACCTTAATAGTACCTTTTGTTACCAGGTCAATTTAAAAAAATCAGTGAAATAACACGTATCGTTTTTCCTTATGTGACCTAATAGGAAACTACTTGCAATTGTTTACTTACTAATTTTCCCTGCCAGATTATTTTTATCGAAAGGCACTCCCTTTTCTAAATGCCTCTCTTAATTCATAGCTTTGCATGCATTTAAAATACAACCCATCCCTTCTCTTTCTCGAGGCATCAAATCTATGACACCAAATCTCTATGATAAAGAAGAGTTTCACAAAATGCAGCAGTGCACATTATGTGTAAACAAAATTATTCTGACTAGTATTATTACTACTCAGCATTTTCAACAAATAATTAGTTGGTGCTGTGAATTCCCGTATTTCTCCTTTAAGTGGAAAATGGAATTTATAATCCTTCTATCTATCACAGATACAATCAAATTAGGATCTCTTATAGGATGAATCAATAGGTTAGGATAACCACTGGCTAAATGCAAGCCAACAGCAGAAACCCACATAGAAATAGATACTGCTAAACAGAAACATTTTCAAATCAGAAAATATAAAAAGTTGTGACAAGGTCAGTAACTAACCTGTTTTAAAGCTACACAAAAGCATGATTCCAGTAAAGTCAAAGGAGTGGAAACTTATATTTTGCCTGAAAAGCTGCTCAGGAGGCTAGACTGCCAGCACCTCGCTATCCCATTTATCAAAGTGAGGCACTGTCAAGTGCTGCTAGCTCGGTATTATCAGGGAAAGACTTGATGCACCATGTGAGCTAGTCACCTAGGATTTTTCCTAGGTCTGATATCAAAGGCCAAAGTTATCTGTTCTTCCAATTAGCTCTACCACCTAGGTGGTAGCTGAAGTTTGAAGTGACCACCTTGCAAAACAATAGAGATGCCCACTTCCCTGCTGAACAGCTGGGGCTCACACACTCACTACCTGACAATACCAGCGCCTGAGCTATGCTGGAACCCAGCTCTGTACCCCCAGTGCCACAAAGGTCCAGGACTTTTGCCGTCCAAACACAACTTTGCATCACCAAGCAACATAAATAGCCAATATGCAGGCTGAATAATGAGCATTAATTGGGCTGCTGAGGCCCCCTTAGTACTTGCTGTCATCTTGCTTCATCTTACGCATAACCTTACCCATGTCAAGTATCATATGCATTCACTGCCTTCCTGTTTTGGAAACACTGCCTTACAGAAATAAGTTGCGATATATTAATCATAGAAGTAAGAAGAAAATCACAGCTTTGCACATGTTGTAGAGAGTTTTTGCTTTAATCCCACAAAAATAGGTGCTATAGAAAGGAGGAAAGACAGAGAGAGAGAAAGAAACCACACCCTATAAAAGGAAAGAGAAATAACTACAATTTTAACACAGTTTAAAATATAACTTGGAAGAAGGGAAGTTTCTAGTTCATAAAAAAGCGTTGAGCACTTACCACCAGGGATCTGTATCACTGCTCTAGATGCTAGGGGAATATATTTCTCTGGTCTACCTTCCAATTACTCTGCTTTCTCAAAACATCCTAGACTCGTATTTTATAAAGGCTAAATTTTTTTGTGATGTTCTAGCTCTTTTTTTGTTGTTTTATGGGCAATGGGAACTGTTTGAATTACTTCTTGGCACAGTCACTTAATCATACAGTATTTTGTCTTTTCATAGACACCAAATAGGTACATAAAGTACCAACAAAAATGATCAGTCAATTCTTTTCATCTCTTATGTCTCCACCTAACATGAAACACTTCAGTGAGTAAGACTTGGCTATTGCTACTCTACATGCACTAAAGATATTTTGCACAACTAAAATGAATCTATTTTTCAGATTGCCCGCCTCTTATCCTCTAACACATAGCATATGGTACCATGCTTGCAGCAGAGCACAAATCTAAAAATAGGATTTCAGATCTGTATCAAAATGGTAAATTTTGCATTGGCTTNAACTGAGGTTTCGTATATTTTTTTATTTAGAAAACTGAATCTTAAAATTGATTTTTTTCATGTACACATTGGCTAAGGCTGCTCTAAGACATGTTATCAGGTAAATTTTCATCTGTAACCCAATGTTTACCAGCTTCATTATAAAAACAAAAGTAAATCTCTTTGTCTCTCATTATATATGATTTTCGAAAACATTTTTTTCTTTCATCAGATGAACATCATCATAATTTGACACAGGTTAAATTTGTTGATGGCTGCTGCTTTTCAAATGTACAAAATGTTCCAGATTCTGATGTAAAACCAGATCTTTTGGCTTTTATTCCTTTGGGACTATCCTTTGAATATAATGACACAAAGCTTTCTTTCATGTTTACTTTGGTGAACAACTACACTGGACAACCAATAGATAATAGAAGGAAGCACAATCCAGGTTTATCTTTTAATTTATGCCTCTGAGAAGCAGGACTTGCTTTGCATCTCAGAAAAGTCTCTCCATGCCTAAGATTTCACAGAACTCAGTGATCAACTGCACTACTGGTCCTTGACTTCTCCCTCCTAATTCCTCCTCGGCTGATGGACACAACCAAAGACTCCTTGAAACAGTAGAGAGATCTTTTTAAAAGATGCTATGAAAAACTTACTGCAGTGTTAAGACTTAACTCAGTTCCACATCCTGATACCACCTGACATGAAGTCTCCAGGAATTACCGAAAAGGAGTAAGAGCAGTATGAAGGAGAACATCAAATACTACAAGGTTACAAAGACCTAATGAGTATCTGTCAATAGAGAAATACAGAGCAAATATGTCTACAGACATATGAATTTAGGTGTATAATAGAAGCCAGGCCATACTGAAAATATTCACTACCACATATTCTTTGGAGCCAGTACTCAAGTAAAAAAAAATGCAAAGCATTTATCTTATTTTCTTAGAATGTCTTTTTCCTCACATATAACATAGAATCCTTGAAAGCAGGAAACAGTTCTTCTCATAAACCAAAACTAATATAGTAATTATTTTACTTCCTCTATAACCAGCAGAACTACTAACAGATATGAAATGCATAAAGAAACCAAACATAAAAGAGAGAAAGAAGCAGCAGCAATCTGTGGTACACATACACAAGTCATTAACAGTGTCTGATTTATAGCACTGCTTAACTTACAATCACAGAATTGTCCAGGTTGGGAAAGACCTCTGCAACTAATGTGATTTAAAATGCCTGTTGCTCAAATTAAGGCACTACACATTTGTAGTTTTATAATACTTTTTAAATGAGAGATGCCTTAAAAATAATAATCTCAGAAACATTAGGATCATGATCTTATTTGCAGATAGTATTTGGTGGCAGTTTCATTTACATCACCAGTTACTTTCTGTGATATTATACATTGAGGAATTTAACACGTGTAGGTATTATATACATATACATACACAAATATAGGTATATATACACATATAAATAAAAATATATGAAAGCACCTTTGTTGCTTACCTTCCAAACTTTCTTGTTCATCTGGAGTGAAAGTATCCATCTGACTCTGTTCTCTCAAGAAATGGATGACTGCATAAACCAAACGCTTGACTGATGACATGTTGAAATTGTTTTCTGTTATGTCTTAAAAACAACAGAATCTCTCATTTTAGGAAATGAACCCCTACCTCAGTAAGAATTACACACAACACATAAAACCTAATCCTTCACCAGAAAGCCCAATAAAACAGTGCCTTGAAAAAAGTGGTGAATTTGCATGGATTAGAGAAAACTGCTACAATCATGTCTAACTATCAGAAAAAAACCACGTATTTCCTCCAATTCATTTTTGGAAGAAAAGTTTACCAAGGCTAAAATAATTCAGCAACTTCTTTTTCATTTATGCTTTTTTTGAAATGGTTTGCACTTTATTTACATATACACTTGCAAGTAGGAGCACATTTGTTTTGAAGTCAAAACCAATTAAACAGCCACTGTGATAATGACATAAAGAAATACACTTCAGTAGAAGTTGTTTTATGATATGTCTTGGTGTTACCCTCTGATAAAAGATGTTCTATGGTGTAATACACACTGTGTTATCTTTCAATATAAGATGTTCTAAGGTGTGACACACACAGTGTTATTCTTTGATAAAAGATGTTCTATGGTGTGACATGCACAGTGTTATCCTTCAATAGAAGATGTTCTATGACATGATACAAGTGTTATCCTTTCATAAAAGGTGTTCCGTGATGTGACACAGTGTTATCCTTTCATAAAAGGTGTTCTATGATGTGACACAGTGTTATCCTTTCATTAAAGGTGTTCTCTGGGGTGACGTGCTATTATGCTTTAATAAAAGGTGTTCTATGGTGTGGAACGGTATTATTCTTTCATAAAAGCTGTTCTATGGTGTGACACACTATTATCCTTTCATAAAAGGTGTTCTATGGTGTGACACGGTGCTATCCTTTCATAAAGGGTGTTCTATGGTGTGATATGGTGCTCTGAGCAGTTTATTGTCACTTTAGACAAAGAAATGGAACACCGTGACCTCAGTGTATACTTGCCATTAGTGACACTACTGGCTCAGTCTGATTTCCATTCAGCATCAGCTGGGAGTTATATAACTTGGAGGACAATTTTAGTCACAACTTTCCAACTTATTTTTCCTTAAACCACTTAGATTTAAAAGGGCACAATCTTACCCAGTTCTCCAAGCAAAGCGGGTTTAAAATGTAGCATTAAATGAATGGCAAGATCCAGACCAGCTCTCGCTACGTTATTTTCTCTCCACAACCCGGGGGCAAACCGGTGTGCGGCCAAACCTACACCAGGCAAATCCCGTCGTGGAGACAGGGA